CAGTGGAGGATGGCCCAAGTACTTGGGCCCTGCACCCCATGGGAGACCAGGATAAGTATCTGGCTCCTGCCTTCGGATCAGCGCGGTGCGCCGGCCGCAGCGCGCCGGCCGCGGCGGCCATTGGAGAGTGAACCAACGGCAAAGGAAAGATCTGAAAGATCAGTTTACATTTTAAATAATTCCTTTCCAAGATGTGAACATGAAAGACTTTTTAATTTTTGTGTGTCTTCTTTTATTTATTTCTTTAATGTTTTACAAATTGTATCTTAGATATCTTATACATTCTTAGTTAAATTTATTCCAGTGTATTTGATTTTTTTTGTAGCTGTTATGAATGGGATTCATTTTAGAATGAATCTTCAGAATGAATCTTTTTTAGATGTGGCATTTATACAAAGGCTATTGATTTTTGTGTGTTGATTTTATATCCAGGCACTTTTGCACAACTCTTCTAAGAGTTCCAATAGTCTCTTAACTGAGTCTTTTGGATCCCTATATTTAGAATCATGTCAGCTGCAAATAGGAGCAGTTTGACTTCCTCCTTTCCAAATTGCATCCTTTGATTTATTTTCCTTGCCTAATGGCCCTGGCTACAACTTCCAGGACTGTATTAAATAGCAGTGCTGAGGCAGAAAGAGAACGGAGTGGAGAACCAGTGAGAGGGCAACCGCCGTTGCACCCTGGGGGAAGCAGGTGAGAGGGTGCAGCCCTCAGAGATGTAGACACAGATGAGAGGGAAACAGTGGACAGCACTTGGTGGTATAAGGGGGAGGAGGGTGCATTTCTGGGGGATGAAGAGAGAGATCTCGGTGTCTCCCACCCTGCCCAACCGGAGCTGCAGCAGGTGAAGGGCAGGAATTTTGCTGGGTTCCATTCTGGAGTGCAGGCAGGCGGTCTGTGCTTTCACCTCCAGCACACAAACATCAGTTGCAGGAACCACCACACCCAGGAACAATGATCACAACAGTTCGGAGTGACTCCCCTGCACAGTGGCCAGGAAGGCTGAGCAACAGAGGCCCAGAGCTTTCCGGTGAACAAAGGAACAGGGAGTCCAGCCCCAGTGGGCAGGGCTTACTACATCAAAGCCCAAGTACCTGCTACTTAAGTACCTGCCTCCTTCAGCTCCCAGAAATAAACAAAGCTCTAGGAAGTGGAGCTGCTTGCTTACACTAGCAGTTGGCACAGACCCATAGCAGCCCATAGCAGAGGGAAATCAATTTAAAAATTAAACCAAACAGAAATGCAGAAGAACAAAGGAAAAATGCTGACTAAGAATATGGAAGAACCTATGCACTCACCAGTGGAGCAATCTGAACCTTCAGTAATAGAAGCTAAAGAAGAAGAAATTGAAGTCATGGCAGAAAAAGAATTCAGAAAATTAATAATCAGATTACTTAGAAGCAATCAGAAACAGATTCAAGATCTGAATGAAAAGCACACCCAAGAAATAGAGATTCTGAAGAGAAAACAGAATGAAACACTAGAAATGAAAAACTCAACTGACGAAATAAAAAATGCTGTGGAATCCCTCAGAAATCGAACAGATGAAATAGAAGAGCGAATATCAGAATTCGAAGACAGACTTCCAGAAATAATACAGGAATCTGTACTGTGGCGCAGTGGGTTAACCACCGGTCTGAAGCACTGGCATCCCATATGGGCACCAGTTCTAGTCCCGGCTGCTCCTCTTCCAATCCAGCTCTCTGCTATGGCCTGGGAAAGCAGTGGAACATGGCCCTGGTCCTTCGGCCCCTGCACCCACGTGGGAGACCTGGAAGAAATTCCTGGCTCCTGGCTTCAGATTGGCACAGCTCCAGCCATTGCAGCTAATTAGAAAGTGAACCATTGGATGGAAGACCTCTCTCTCTCTCTCTCTCTCTCTCTCTGCCTCTCTTCTCTCGTGTAACTCTCTGACTTTCAAATAAATAAATAAAATCTTTTTTTTTTTTGACAGGCAGAGTGGACAGTGAGAGAGAGAGAGAGAGAAAGGTCTTCCTTTTTCCGTTGGTTCACCCCCCAAGTGGCCGCTGCGGCCGACACACTGCGCCAATCCAAAGCCAGGAGCCAGGTGCTTCCTCCTGGTCTCCCATGTGGGTGCAGGGCCCAAGGACTTGGGCCATCCTCCACTGCACTCCCAGGCCACAGCAGAGAGCTGGGCAGGAAGAGGAGCGACCGGGACAGAATCCGGCGCCCTGACTGGGACTAGAACCCGGGGTGCCGGCGCCACAGGCAGAGAATTAGCCCATTGCGCCACGGCACCAGCCTAAGTAAAATCTTAAAAAAAATAAAATAAAATAAAATAAAACAAAAACAAATTGACCAAACACAAGAAGAAATTAGAAAATTAAAAATCACAGTTGGAGATTTGCAAGATTCAATCAAGCATTGTAACATCTGGATAATAGGAGTCCCTGAGGGAAAGAGAATGGATTAGAAGGCCTTCTTAATGAAATAATATCAGAAAACATCCACAATAGGCAGATTAAAAGAGACCTCCAAGTGCAAGAAATACACAGAACTCCTAACAATTCACCACGATACATTGTGGCAACACTCAGCTCAGTGAAACACAGAACAAATCTTGAAATGTGCTAGAGAGAAAGGACAAATCACATTCAGAGGTAATCCAATCAGACTCACCCCGGGCTTTTCATTGCAAACCTTACAGGCAAGGAGGCAATGGCATGATATATTCCAAGTTTTAAAAGAAGAACACTGTCAACCCATAATACTGTACCCTGCAAAGCTATCAGTTATGAATGAAAGGGAAATAAGGATTTTCCACGACAAACAGAAATTGAAAGTTTGTATCTTTGTGCCCAGCCCTACAACACTGGCTCAAGGATGTGCTGCTTGCTGAAACACAGAAACAGGAAGTTCACTACAAAAGAAGACGAACATAGAAAATGACCCAGCTACAATACAAAAGCCAAAATACATAAACAGGTCCTTTGCAACAAAATGGAGCAAGCTGGAAAACCTCATACTTAGTGAAATAACCCAGTCCTAAAGAGTCCTAAAGAGACAAATACCATATGTTCTCCCTGATTCAGGAGAATTAACAGTGTCGCTAAAATGAAAGCTATAGAAAAGAAATCATCACTTTTAGAATCAATGTTTCAAGAGCTCTTTACCTGATTGTTGAGGGACAGTTTACCGTGGTTACTTTTTACTGTGTATATTTTGATTTTGTTTTGTTTTGTTGGTTTTTTCCTCTGTTTTCTTTCTCTTTTATTTCTCTTCTTCATACTTTGTACTGAACTCTCCATGTAACACAAAGTTAATTATATGTATTTTGAGGCAATTGGAAAAAGACCCCAGTTAAAAATAAGAGGGAGAATAAGACATGGAGGAGGTAGTCTATAACTGTAAAACAGTCTAGTTCTGCATACGATCATACAGACTTATTTTAAGGGTACAGCCTAAGAACTAGTCGTGGAGCTCCAATCCCATAAGAATTGGTGGTATAAACACCATCTTCACTGTTAAAATGATCATGGTAAATGTTAAAGGCAACAGATCGGCCTAAGTTTAAAAGGGATCATACAAATATTATCAAGTACCTGGTAAAGAAAATAGAATTAAAAAGGAAGGAAGGACTAAAATGGGAAGCAATCCACACAGCAGACTCCTAGAGTGACATTTGCAGTAAGTAACACTCTGACCTCATTAAGGCTTCCTGGTCCGGCTGAAAGGCCGGCCTGAGAGAGCATTTGAGGCATGGAAAGCTAAGATTCTGTGACCAAAAAAATATCCTATACGGAGGATCTCTGTGAGGCCTCAAAGGAAAGAAAGTGTCCTCAAAGAAGGAGACGCTCTTCTCTGAAGAGAGGAGAGAATGTGCACTTTGCTTATGGCCGTGTCCAAATACCAATGGAGTCTATGACCACCAAAGGCTTCCATAGCCTTGGCAGGCCATGGCAAGAGCCTCGAATGATCACTGACGTCATTAAAAAAGAGTGTTAATTGTTAAAGGAACAACAGTAGTCACTGTGCACTTGCTCCCCATGTAGAACCTCTGTCCCTATTGAATTGTAATATGAGAATCAACTGCAGATTCTCTTCCCAAACTGTACTCTATGTTTTGTGTGTGCATGGGTGCAAATTGTTGAAGTCTGTGATTAGCATGGAGTTGGTCCTCTGATATAAGTCATACTAAAAATGAACCATAATGAAGAAGGAGATGGGAGAGGGAGAAGGAGGTGGGATGGGATGGGAGGTCTGGGGGAAAGAACCACTATATTCCTAAAGTTGTATCTGTGTAAAAATGCATTCATTAATTAAAAAATGTGATGCATTTCATTGATTGATAGTGAATGCAGAACCAGGAATGATTCCAACTTGATCCCAGTGAATGATCTTGCCAATATGTTGTTGGATTCAATTGGCTTGTAATTTGTTAATGATTTGTGTGTCTATATTCATCAGGGAAATTGGTCTGTAATTCACTTCCTTTGTTACATCTTTTTCAAGTTTGGTAATTAATGTGATGCTGGCTTCATAGAAGGAGTTTGGGAGGAGTCCCTCCCTTTCAGGTGTTTCTAATAGCTTTAGAAGATTTGGAGTTAGTTCTATTCTAAATGTCTGGTAAAATTCAGGAGCAAAGCCATCCAGTCCTGGTCATCTCTTTACTGGGAGGGTCTTTATTACTGATTCAATTTCTGTCATGAATATTGGTCTGTTTAGATTTTCTGTGTCTTCATGGCTCAATTTAATTAGGCTTTATTTGTCCAGGAATCTATCCATTTCTTCTAGGTTTCCTGGTTTGTTGTCATACAGCTCATTGTAATTTCTGATAACTCTTTTTTATTTCTGTGGTGTTATTTGTTACATTCCTTTTTATCTCTAATTTTATTGATTTGGGTCTCTTTTTTTGGTCAGTTGGGGCAAGGGTGTGTCAGTTTTGTTTATTTTTTTAAAAGATCAGCTTTTTGTTTTGCTGACTTTTTTGTTTGTTTCAATCTTCTTCATTTCTTCTCCAATTTTAATTATTTTTGTAGGACCCCAAAAGCGGTGTCCTCTTGTGACGACCCCAGAAACACAGACTCCGGACCAGACGATGCAATAGAACAGGAGGTAACTTTATTTCATTTGTACAAATGGGCCCTCTACTGCTGCAAGCAGCAAGCAAGCGAGAGGAGCCCCGAGCAGCTATCTCACACAGCTTTTAAAGGGCAAAACCACAAAATTAACATATTATAGGCTGGCGTAAGTTCATTGGATAATTTTCAGTAGCGGGCCTTGTATGGCAGTCTGAAGTGGTAATGTCGGTGGAAAAGTACTAGGTCAAAGGGATACATTAGGGGAGGGGGTCTCTAGGAGAGAGGAATAGGTTGCTACGTGCCTTGCAGCTTTCTTTGTTAACCTTGAGCAAGCGTAGGGAAGGGGCTTATCTACAAGGCAGGTGTTCTGTGTATCTCTGGTTAGTAGCTGACTGCTTTCTCTGTGAACCGGTTTACTCCCCATTTCCCAAGGCCGTCTCTGGAACGGTTTGTCTCAGGAGCCCCATTTTTTTTATGGTGGCTCTTGGCTCCTTTCATTCCCCCATTTTCTCTTTGAACTAATTTTAATCCTAAAATTGTGTGCCGTTAATGAGGGGTTTCAATACGGTCACTGGTGGCCAGGGCTTGATACTGTTGCATGAGGACTAATGCCAATGATCAGCAAGCCAGGCCTTAGCATGTGGGCCCATGGCCAGCCATGGGTCTCTACATTTTTTTTTTTATTAAATTGAGAATGGCCTCTGTCTTAGGTTGCCCTCAGTCATCTCTGTCCTTACCCGTCATCGGTAACTCTGGCAGCTTGGCCTAGAGCCCTGTCTTAGGTTGGTACAGGATGCTGAGCGTCTTACCCGTCTTTGAGTACCATTCCAGCCCAACATTAGGTGAGAGATGAAACATACAGCCAAATATCAATTATTTTGATTACAAAGGAGGCTTGGTACGAAGTTTTAAATGATGAATCTCAGTCCATTCATACTATAGGGAAGTCAGCATAAAATGCAGAACACACGGAAGACATCCCATACAAAGTGGGAAAAGCAGTAGCAGTCCAGCCAACATTAATAACCAATGAATCCATTGAAACCCTTCAAATGAATAGTGGGTTAGTAATAAACATATGTTGCATTTTACTCTTAAGTTTATCAATAACAGACTCTATATATGGCACATTGTTAGTAATGTTAAAGCAATATCCCCCAGGTACAGGTTTACAACTTAAATGATCTTTTTAACAGCAAGTAATTGTTAGCTGCATGGCTTAAAAGCACTCCTGAGTGAACTTGATCCAATTCTTTGGCTATATTGGATAGCACAGTAGCAGTAAGATTGATTGCTTTGGTCACCAAACATGTAAGCCTTCATAGTCCACGATTATTTCCAAAAGCCAGTCCAGGAACACTTACTACTGATGCAGCCATGGCAAGGGCAGTGTCCTCTCCTATTAGGATGATTGTTATAGTAGTCTTCAGGTAAAGCACACCACTGACGTACTCTATCCGCTGCTGTAAATACAGATGTTACTGTAAATACAGATGTTAGCATCAGGGCCACACGGCCCAGGGAGCAATTGCAGAAAGGCATGTTGGTTACATGGAAAAACCCATCCCTTAGGAGCCCTTGTCCCATACCAGTACTGGATCAGGTCCATTCCATTGATTGGTGATAGGATCCCTCCATTTCACCATTGCTCTTTTTACAGCTGTTTTTAAGCAGTTAGAATTCAACAGAGACATCAAGAGAACATAATAGATTACTTTAACTCATTGCTTTAACAGAGGATCAGATTTTGATTTTATGTCAAAGAAAATAACCAAAGATTTCTTCTTCCCATAACATTTTGCGACTTTCTCACACCTTCTGTAACTTGCTCAAACCTTTCTCTTCTCCCACCCTCTTTTTTTTATTCCAGTATAAACCAGCCATTAAGATAAACAATTTTTACAAATCATATCCTTTTAAAAGTATCTCTTTCTTTTAACTTTCCTTATCAAGAACACGCTTTTATGTTTGTGACCTTTTACATCAAAATGATGGTATCTGGGACTGTAGCAGTCAATGGGAGAGTAACTTTGTTTAATTCCCTGTAATCCACAGTCATTTTTCAGGTTTCATCTGATTTCTTAACATGCCAAATTAGATAATTCCTTTTAGTGATTATGGGAATCATCACTCAGCACTAAGATAATTTTTTTACTGTTTTAGATTTTTTTTATGTCCACCTGGAATTTTGTATTGTTTACACTGAATAACCTTAGTTATTACAGAGGCTTGATATAATTTTTTTTTTACCACTACCTAGCAGTTTGACTCCAAAGGACAGCATTTTTTTTTCTCAATTTATATTTATCTTATTTTTTAATTGCTTATACATGCATCAGTATGCAGATAACAAAATCCATTCTCACCTCCCCAAAGCCTATAGTTTATCCCCCTTTTCCACCGGCACTGATAGCAAAACCTCAATAACTTGTGCAGGCTGTGCACTCTGTAACTTGCCATCCCAATTCTCACTCGATTCTGAGCAGAGAGCCCATTCCTTCACCAAAGAGGCGATCTGAAGGTCTTTCCAGCCAGGAACATCACAGGTTACACATGCAACTTCAGTTTTTCTTTTAAAGAAAGGCATTGCTTTGCATACTTGCGGATCCTGCCAACTATGCCAATTTGTGACAGTAAATTACTTTTTAGCTGTCTGCTGTGCACAGACTTAGTTACTTTTAATCTGCAAGAAATACGCTGCAAGCCTTGTAGTGCACACTAAAATTATTTAGAGGAAAGATGGTAAAGGAGCATAGATTAACAGAATGTTGCAATAAACATGGCTCCATTGCTTTAATGATACTATAGCAAGATGGTCCACTGACCCCTGTAGGGAGGGCCTGAGGCTGGCCCCGCTTCCAGTTTCCTGAACTCTGTTTTTTAATGAATTACCTTCTTTATCAGTTTTGGAGTGACATTATTGGCCCAATGCCTTTCCCTTTAGCACTGGAAGCAAATTCCAGGAAGAGCCTTATTTTGATTTTTGACTTCTGGACAATTTTTGTACATGTCCCTGTTGCCCACATTTATAGCACCCTCATTTATCAGGCATAGCCCTCCTTGATGATTTTTGTAATGACATACCAAGCAGAGCGTCAGGTCCTGAATGTCCTGTTATTAATTCATTTTGTTAATTTCTCATTAAAGGGACTGTCACAGAACACCTCAATCACAGTAGCCAATTGATCATGTTCACGTTGTACTTAAGTTTTGTAGAATTTACAGTACTGTGGGCATCACTAGGCAATCTTCACACAGCTCCGGAGAAGGATCCATACTGAGAATTAAACATTATTAGTAATCATCACGGGCACATTTAACATTCAGCTTGACTGCGTGTTCCCCCCGAATGAAACAGCAGCAGCAGAGGCTTGCTCTGGCTCCCCCTTAAAGCCCCCAAGGACAAGGGTGGCTCATTGCCAAGATTTTAGGCAAGCAGTGCGTCCCATCTCGGGTCTTGGCCAGAGAGCCGAGACATGAAGCATGCCCACCTGTTTATCAGAAAACATTCCTTTATCCTCCTCCCTGGGAACTGGCCAGGCTCCCAAGGAGCAGGAGAAGGTCATTCGGCAGCAAAGTTTCTTGGTTACCAGAGCCAAATCTAGGTACAAGCCTCTCCATTCCAAAAATTTGTCCTTACATTTGGCCCTAGAGTTGCATTGAGAAGTAGACATAATTAACACATCATAAGAATACAATACACATTTTTCATACAAGTATACATCTAGCAATCAAACACAACAATAAAAACAGATGGGGGAGACAGTAAGAGATAAAGGACAACAAAAACAGTGACACACAGAACACAAATCACAAGCCGCGCGGCAACAGACCGAGACAAAACCGAAACTATCAGAAGGGAGCGGCAGTCTAGCCAGGCTCTCCCCTGGAAGAAAGGAAATTCCCTCTTTCCCTCCTTCCCAGACCACCACTGGAGCGTTCTCCAGGGTTGAACCAGGGGTCTCAGGACACGTCTGAAATTTCAGAAGGGAGCGGCCGTTTGGCCAGGCTCTCCCTTTGAAGAAGGGAAACACTCTCTTTCCCTCCTTCCCTCCCTTTGAAGAAGGGAAACGCTCTTTCCCTCCTTCCCAGACCACCACTGGAGCGTCCTCCAGGGTTGGACCAGGGGCCTCACGACACGTCTGTCTCCCCTTTGGTCCAGTCAGTACTGAGCCTGTACAGGCGCCCCAGGACGGATTCCACGTCGTCCTGGCAGACAAGGACAAACAGTACAAACCACAGTTACAATAATACACAAGTAAGCAAACTTACCTCCGTCTGGCCGATGGAGTGTGGGAGTCTGGGGTCCCCCAAATCCCGGACGAGCCCCCAGATGTAGGACCCCAAAAGCGGTGTCCTCTTGTGACGACCCCAGAAACACAGACTCCGGACCAGACGATGCAATAGAACAGGAGGTAATTTATTTCATTTGTACAAATGGGCCCTCTACTGCTGCAAGCAGCAAGCAAGCGAGAGGAGCCCCGAGCAGCTATCTCACACAGCTTTTAAAGGGCAAAACCACAAAATTAACATATTATAGGCTGGCGTAAGTTCATTGGATAATTTTCAGTAGCGGGCCTTGTATGGCAGTCTGAAGTGGTAATGTCGGTGGAAAAGTACTAGGTCAAAGGGATACATTAGGGGAGGGGGTCTCTAGGAGAGAGGAATAGGTTGCTACATGCCTTGCAGCTTTCTTTGTTAACCTTGAGCAAGTGTAGGGAAGGGGCTTATCTACAAGGCAGGTGTTCTGTGTATCTCTGGTCAGTAGCTGACTGCTTTCTCTGTGAACCGGTTTACTCCCCATTTCCCAAGGCCGTCTCTGGAACGGTTTGTCTCAGGAGCCCCATTTTTTTTATGGTGGCTCTTGGCTCCTTTCATTTTCTCTTAACTAGTTGTAGAATAGTTTGTTGTTGTTTCTATAGGTCATTGAGATGCATTGATAGCTCATTTATTTGGTGTTTTTCTAATTTCTTGATGTAGGCACCAATTACTGTAAACTTTCCTCTTAACACTGCTTTTTATGTGTCGCATAAATTTTGACATGTTGTATTGTCATCTTCATTTCCATTGTTCGATTTCTTCAGTGACCTACTGTTCATTCAATAATATGTTGTACAGCCTCCTTGTGTTTACATATATTTTACAGATTCTTGAGATATTGATTTCTAGTTTCATTCCATCATGGTCCAAGAAAATCATGGTATGTTTGAATTTTTTTAATTTATTGAGAGTTGCTTTGTGGCCTAGCATATGGTCTATCCTAGAGAATGTTCCTGTGCATTGGTGAGAAGACTGTGTATTCTGAATCTGTGGGAAGAAAAATTCAGTAGATATCCATTAGGTTATTTTTAGTCTATATGTCATTTAACTGTTGTTTCCTTGCTGATTTTCTGTCTGATTGTTCTGCACATTGCTGAAAATGGAGTATTGAAGTCCTCCATTATGATTATATGGGCGTCTCTGTCTCCTTTTGGATCCATTAACATTTCTTTTAAATAGCAAGGTACCCTGTAATTAGGTAAATATACATTTTTTGAAAGGCAGAGTTACAGAGAGGCAGATGCAGAGAGAAAGAGAGAGAGAGACAGACGTATTTTATCCACTTGTCTACTCCCCAGATGGCCACAATGGTTGGAGCTGAGCCAATCTGAAGCCAGGAGCCAGGAGATTTCTCCCAGTCTCCCATGTGATTGCAGGGGTGCAAGGACTTGGCCCATTATCCACTGCTTCCCAGGCCATAGCAGAGAGATGGATCAGAAATGGAGCAGCCAGGACTCGAGGTGGCCCCCATATGGGATGTTGGCACCACAGGCAGCAGCCATAACTGCTCCTCCACAACACTGGATTATATGTACTCATATCTTCCCTGTTGGAATGACCCCTTAATCATTGCTCAGTGGAGTAAGAATTATAAGTGTTTCTTTAAAAAAAATTTATTTATTTGAAAGCCAGAGTTACACAGAGACTTGAGAGGCAGAGAGGCAGACAGAGAGAGAGAGAGAGAGAGAGAGAGAGGTGTCGCATCTGCTGGTTCGCCCCCCGGTTGACCCCAATGGCCAGAGCTATGCCGATTCAAAATCAGGAACCAGGAGCTTCTTCTGGGTCTCCCACATGGGTGCAGGGCCCCTAGCACTTGGGCCATCTTCTACTGCCTTCCCAGGCCGTAGTAGAGAGCCGGATTGGAAGTGGAGAAGCTTGGACTCAAACCAGCGCCCTTATGGGATTTCGGCTTTCAGGCAGTTGCTTTACACACGATACCACAGTGCTGGCCCCTGTCAGTGTCTCTGAGACATTTCTTTGAAGAACAATTTCAAGTGTAAGATTTCTGTAAGTAATACCTGGCATTGAAATAGATGTAATCATGTTTGCACACAGTGAATGTTTAAAGATTCAAAAACAGCACAGCAATGTTCTCTATAGCAGCATTCAAATAGAGTTCATTGCAGTTTAAATAAAACCCAGAGAGGTGCAGGTGTCTGGGGCAGGTCTCGAGACCCTACTTGAGAAGCACACATGGACAGACTGCCCAAGTGCCTGGGTTCCAGTCCTGGCACTGCTTTCAATCTCACGTTCCTACTCACACGCAGTGTAAGAGGAAGCAGGTGAACACCCAAGTCCTTGGTTCCCTGACACCCAGCATGAGAGACCCAGATGCAGATCCAGGCTTCAGGCTTGGTCACCCCAAGTCTGCTGTCTTCCCAGAGAGGAAAGAGCACATGCAGTGGACTAGAGACCCAAGATCTGTGATAAACAAGGCTGTTCAATGTGTGCAGAGGGAAGGTGGGCAGGGGGCAGGTGAACAAAGGTCTCCAATATGAGGGGAGGAGCTGAGTCCTGCCCTGAAGGGGACAGAGCCAGGCATGGCCTTGGAGGACAGCAACAGTGGGAGTCCACACTTCGTGTTGCTGTGAAATAAAACCCACACTGTGGAACAGATGGGAGCACCCAGCCTGCCACCCCGTCCCTGGCCTGCTTCTTGCTTCCCTAGCCCTGCCCTCAGGGAGGACAGTCTCACCTGGATGGGGAGGAACCAGGATTATGATAGGTGGGCTGTGAGCCTTGTAGTACACTGAAGAGGAAAGTCTTCCCCGCTGCCTCTCTTGGGAATCCACAGTCTTGTGGCCCTGGAACCTGCCTTGGCAAAGGCCCCTTCCTACAGACACCAGCCCCTCCGAGCTGCTGTGCTTTACCATCGCTCTCAACTCTGGAGCCCAGGGTCCAGGGAGGCTGAAGTTGGGACGTGGCAAAGCCTCTCGGGACTTCTCCAGGCCACAGATCATAGGAAGGGAAGATGACTCCCAACAGGGCCTGCTTCTTGGGACCTTGGCACTGTGTTGTGAACTTGGGGCAGATGCAAACACACCAGCAGGACCTCGTTCCCATTGCATCTCTGACAATGCTAGCCAGCTCATGTACATGCAGGATGCTCACAGAGAGTGTGTGTCTGCCCTGCACGTGGCCCACAGCCTTATCCATTGGCATCACCATGAAGAATTTGTCACTCCTGGGGATGACTTTGAGATTTCTCTGGAGTCACTTTTCCCTGTAACTTAACCGAGGCCTCCAAGAATGGCCTGCTCACCCGCATAATCTGGAGCACAGTGCAGCTCCAATTCTGTCCAGGGAGGAGGCCGAACAGCAAATACACTGTGATCTGTATGGGGGAGCATCGATCTTACCTTCAAATCTGAAACAAATGATCATTAGCTAAGAAACCTCTCCCATCCCCCAGAAACATGGAGGAGAAGAGGAACAAGGGTGTGGAGTGCTCTGTTCACAGCTTCCCCGGGTGGAGCCCAAGAGGCCCTCTCCTCCCCAGGTAGCCCCCAGCTCTCCTTTCACCTCTGTCCTGTTTGCATATGCAGCTTTGGAAGACCAGGCTGGGGACAGATGACCCAGTGTCCGGAACACTTGCAGAGAACCGCTGCTACATGGCCACCTCTGTTCTCTGCTGAACCCAGGCCACAGTTGAAGTCCCTGCCCAGCTTCCACCTGCAGCTGCCTGAGTCCACACCTGGCCAGTCCCATACACTGTGATGTCAGAGTCCTTTGCCCTTGCGGTAGGGTCTTGTTCTCCATTGGCAGTGCAGGTGAACATTGCCTATGGACACAGCTCTGCCTTAATGCACATCCACGAACCCTTCCTGTGGAGGAGCAGCTATGCACGTTTGGGCCTCTCCTTCCCTCCCTCTACCCCATCCCTCGTCACAAGCCTCACCATGCTCTCCTCCCTCACCTCCACCTCCCCCAAACTCCCACACCCCAGACCCTCCCTCCTACTCCCACCACCCACACCCAATCCCCCACCCACCAATAACCACCATCAACCTCCCCTCCAGCCAGCTTCTGGGAGCCATCCCTCTCTTCTCAGGTCCAAGAGGTCAGCCTTTGTGTTAACCCAGAGCAACGAGAGGGGACCGTACTTGTCCAGGGGAGATCCATCTGGTAGTCAACTCCATCCAACCACGCCAAGGTGCACACAGGGACCCAACACAGGACCGATAGCACGGATAAAGTTTAGATTTTTTTATTGATGAGAAGCACAGAAAGTCTCAAGCAAATGAGGGCCCTCAGGCAGCTCAGCTTGCACACTGAGGCAGGCTACCTGGGGGCCACCTTTCGGCTGCGGGGGCCAGGGCCACGGGCTGGGGCAGGCAGGCAGCAGGCACGCAGGAGGAATCTGAGGATGCTCCTGCCAATCCTCCTGCCCAGCCCCTGCCGGCCCTTGCTCGGGACAGAGGCCGATGCTGAGGTCCCAGCCTCCTCAGGCTCAGCTGCTGGGACCTCTGGCACCACCAGGTGTGGACTGCTCCTGGGGCTGGGGGTGGAAGGGATGACCACAGGGACGGGCTCGGGGGCTGGGCTGGCACCAGAGCTCCTCTCCTGCAGCTGTCCAGGGAGGGAAACGGCCAGCACGGGGGCAGCAACGGCAGAATCTGGCTTAGATTCCGGCTTGGGCATGGGCTCCGGCTCCAGCACCAACTCTGAATCCGACTCCGCCTCGGACTCGGACTCTAGCTCAGGCTCGGGTTCCCTGTGTCCCTGAGGAGAGAGAGGAAGACGGGTGAGGAAGACAGGTGCACTCCGGACCTCCCTCATGCCCACAAAACCATGAAGCTGTGCGGGGAGACCACGGCCAGACCCACGCTCTGCCAACAGGGCTGTACCTGCTCCAGGCTCCGGGAGTCCGGCTGCAGGGACATCCGGCTGGATCCTCCAGGACCAGATGGCACCGAGGCTCCAGCGTCCGGAAGCAGACCCAGGCCCGCCAGGTACTCCTGGGCCTCTGGGTCCTCGGGAATCCCCAGGGGCTGAACCACGATCACCTCCTCCCCCTCAGCTTCCTCTCGTAAGGGGTCAAACCACCATTGCTGGCGGGCAGATTCCGCTGTAGGCCTGTCGCAGGGGTCTGGGCTGAGGAGGGAGCTCAGGAGCTCCTCCAGGGCTGGGCTGGCCGCACACGGGAGCTCGTAGCTCCCCCTCTGGATACAGTCCCGCAGCTCTGCCAAGTCCTTCCCGCTGAAGGGCATGGCCCCTGCCAGCATGGCAAAGAGGATGACCCCCAGGCTCCAAAGGTCTGCTGCGAATGGATCATACGGCTCCTGCCGGAACACCTCGGGGGCGCTGTACTCCGGGGTCCCGCGGAAGCCCTGCACCAGCTCGCCCTCGGGCAGATGGCAGCTGAGCCCAAAGTCCGCCAGCTTCACGTTGAGCTGAGAGTCCAGCAGCAGGTTCCCCAGCTTGAGGTCCCTGTGCGCCACCCGCTGTGCATGGCAGTGGCCCACGGCTGCCAGGATTTGGTCAAACATGACCATGACCTTGGGCTCTGGCAGGCCACCCCGGCTCATCACGTGCTGGTAGAGGTCGCCCCCGTCCACCAGCTCCATCACCAGGCAGTGGTAATGGCCGACACGACCCACCTCCAGCAGCTGCACGATATTCTGGTGCCTCAGGAGCTGCATGATGCTGGCCTCTTGCGTCACTCGCCTGGTGCCGAACGGGTCGCCAGCATGTAAATGAAAGAACTTCACAGCCACCTGCCGCTGGCTGGAAGCCTGGCGGGCCAGCACCACCATGCCGAAGCTGCCCCAGCCCAGGGCCGACAGCAACTGGAGCTCAACCTGTGAGCTGTCGATGGCATCCAGGTCCTCACGGCCTTCCAGGTTGGTGTCCCTAACTACACTCTCTGCTCTGCTCTGGCTAATATTCCTGTCCATAGACGCTAACTAAGGAGCTACCCTAACTACAATAACTAAGAAAATAAAGGGACAACAAGGGGACTACCTGCTGATCTGACTATAGTGGCACACTAGCTATACTAACTACACTAATCACACACAGTGGCAAGACTAAGTCCTATCTAACCAAAACAGAAAACAAAAACCAGAAAAACTCCAAAAAAACAAACACTAAATAGCTACACTAACACTCAAGAGATCTAGCAGCACTTCCTAGCTAAAGATGGGGGAAGCCAAAAAGAAAAAAACTGCAAAAAAAAAGACAAAGTGGGCCAAAAAAGAGATAGGAGGAAAAAAACAAACTAAAACAAAATGGGGAAAAGAAAAAACGAAATAGAACAAGAAACAAACAAACAAACAAAACAGCACACCGACACCAACCAACACAAGCGCAAGCAAAGAGGGGTCCAAGCACACAGGTCACCGAAATAGCTCCCTGGTAAAGCGGACAAAAACCTGGGCCGCGCAGCCGCTTATATAGGCGTGTGGAATTCTGTCATCACAAGGCTCCTTATGAAGTCAGAGGGAGAAATGGACCAATGGCAGTGCAGCAGGGACTTGCACGAATTTTTATTTCATCACAGTTGGTCCTTATGAAGTCAGAGACAGGTGGGGACCAATCAGAGCCACAGCTAATCCTCAGGGGTTTCCTCAACCAGCTTTCTCTTAATATCATAGACCCCAAGAGCTGCTGGCGTAGATTGGTGATACGGACTGATGTTTATAATTTGAACTTTAAATACGTAGGATGCACCTATGGCCTTTTCCTTTCTCCTTAAGAAGTGATAACAATTGTGGGGTCTTTAAGACCTCTGATCGTCTACACTCCAGAGACACATCCATTGCCTTTAACCCTGAATGATAGGTCTCTGAATGTTGCTAGAACTTCTCTGGCATCATGATATCCTTGACAAAGTGTCCCGTTGCCCCTGACACCACCAGGCACATTACTATAATGGACACAGCTGAGAGAAGGGCATCTTTCATAATCCTTTCCCCCTAAGATCCTCACCAGATTTCTCGTTAGAACCCCTGGAGGACCAGAAGGTAGCTCTGGGTGGGTATAGTCCAGGTACGGAAGGCCAACTAAGTGTCAGCATTCTCCAAATTGTCCTTAGAAAAGCAGGGAGAAACTGACGCATGTTTGATGTCTCAGGGTTCCCATGCTGCTCTCACAAAGTGTCTTGAACGGAGTCATGAATAAAGAACAGAACTTCATTCCTCAGTGTTTGTTCTGCAGGCTAGAAAGTGGAAGGTCAGGGCTCCAGCAGACTCGTTGTCTGGAAAGCGCTCCCTCTCTGCTGCTGCTGCTGAGCCTTCTTCAGAGAGAGATGGTAAGATGGGAAGGCTGGTGGTTTGTTGTGGTTGGTTGAAGCCAAGTATATGTGTGGAGAGTGGCGTTGTAGTCCTTAAAAAAGTACCACACCTTAGTCCAAAACTCCCCAGTAAATTTTAAGGAAAGATCATGGCTTCCTGGGGTGTCCTCAGATGGTGAAAGCACAGACCTCACCCCGTCAAGCCCTTTAGACAGACAGGTAGCCTGCGGCTGACACTGCAGTCCAGCAGGTTAAACCCTGCTACACCAGCATCCCATGTGGGTGCTGGTTGGAGGCCTGGCTCCACTTCCAAACCAGCTCCCTACTATTGTGCCTGGAAAGCAACAGAAGGCGGCTCAAGTAATTGGGCCTCTGCCACCCATGTGGGAGACCTGGATGGAGTTCTAGACTCCTGGCTTTGGCCTGACCCAGAGGAGGCAATTGTGGCTATTTAGGTAGTAAACCAGCAGTTAGAAGCTCTCGCTATCTCTTTCTCTATTTCTCTCTCCCTGTCTCCCACCTTCACTCTCTGTAAATAAATAATTGTCTTTTTTTTAGAGAAGAAACGCAATCATCTTGCAAAAGAGAGTGGACCCCTAGTTCTGTTTTCCACAATTTAGAAAGGAAGTGTCATCGAAATGAAGTGAATGAAATATAATTATAACTTCCCTTTTAATAATTCAGCAGAATTTTCCTCTAATGATCCTTCAGATTAATTGGAAAGCAATTTAAGGAAAAAGACATAAAGGAAGCAAGAACATGTTTCACTGTTGACAGTGGAGACTTCCTGTTGACAGTGGAGACTTCCTGTTTATATCCTGGGTTTGTGTGTGTCTGTTTGGCAGGTGCACTAGAGCCCTCTCTCTACCACAGGGAGTCTACAGTGCTGACCCAGGGCTAGCCAGCACTTTGTAGAATCTTGTCGTCCTGCCTTTAGCGGTACTAGACTCTTCCCTTACCTTTGCGTGCTTTCTTACGCTTTGATAGTTTTGTTTCCCTTTTCCTGGTTGGATGTGTAGGATCCCTATGGTGGCGATGCTTATCCAGATGTGAATCCTGCTTCTTCCTAGTTCCTGGGTGTGAAAGATCATCTAGTGCCGGGTGTTTTCAAGGAGCTCAGGAGGAGCAACCCCAGACGAAGGTGGGAGTCACAGTGCAAACCCAATGAACCCTTCTCTCTTGAAACATTCTTCCCAGTCTTGTCATATGTCACAGACAGATGTGGTGTTTCATTAGGAGCTAAAAATGGGAGACGACTATAAATACAGTGCTTGGGAAGGGAGTTTGTTCTGACTATGTAAGCCTAGGAGAAGGAAGACTTTATCTCTGAGACAGGATTGCAGCACTGGATACCTCCTTGGGTGCAGAAGATGGTGTATTACAGTATAACTCAGCTAATATTTGCCTGCTTTCACAGCTATTCCAAGTCATTGAAAGTCTTTGATTGTTAAAATTGTCCTCACAACAACTTGCAAGAATATTCCAGAATCAGGCATGAGTAAGTACATTGACATTTGCTATACATTGAACCTGTAACAGAAAGACCTTCGTGTTTCTCACCAACAACAAGAACTGAATTTAAAAACACTTTTATTTATCAATGAGTGAAGACAGACAACATAAATTAGTAACAAAACTCACTAATGAACTAAGCAATGTACATAAATTTTTGGACAATGTAACAAGATCTTGGTAAGCCAATGATCCTATGCTGTCATAAAGGCTGTCATTCATGACTTGATATTAGAGATAATTCAGCACTGTTTATCCTGTGTAATGTGGTTGATTTTTTGTGTTTTATCATCATGCTGATTAAATATATGAGTTTTATTGTTATTAGCACAATGTATTAATTTTGCTGTTAAAATTAAGCTATATGTGAAAGAACTCATAATTTCATTATGTCACAAGGATCTTTCTTCTTTGAAAGAACTGTACTCTTTTTTTTTTTTTTTTTGGCAGGCAGAGTTAGAGAGAGAGAGACAGAGAAAAAGGTCTTCCTTTCTGTTGGTTCACCCACCAAGTGGCCGCTGCGGCCAGCGCGCTGCACCAATCTGAAGCCAGGAGCCCGGTGCTTCTCCTGGTCTCCCATGTGGGTGCAGGGCCCAAGGACCTGGGCCATCCTCCACTGCCTTCCAGGGCCACAGCAGAGAGCTGGACTGATAGAGGAGCAACTGGGACAGAATCCAGTGCCCGGACCAGGACTAGAACCCAGGGTTCTGGCGCTGCAGGCAGAGGATTAGCCTAGTGAGCCGCGGCGCTGGCCCTTTTTTATTTTTCAAAGTAATTCATTATAACTTTGATTGGTAATTTATAATTTCATGAATGTTAAGTGTGATATAAACATTGTGAAAAATATTAAAACATCAAAATGTTCCAAAAAGACACATTTTTAAAAATTTTATTGCAGTATAGTATACACCAAGAAATGCACAGACATATACAGAAAAGTGAGGTTTTGGTCCTCTGATCACAAAACTACTTTTTAAAAAAGATTTGTCATATTTATTTGAAAGGCAGAGAGATGGGGAGAGACAGACAGAGGAAGAGAGATCGTCCATCTGCTGATTCACTCCCCAAATGGCTGTAATGGTCAGGGCTGGGTCAGGCCAATGCCAGGAGGCATGAACTCCATCTAAGTCTGCCACACGGGTGCAGGGGCCCAAGTACTATCTTCTGCTGCTTCCCTAGGCTCATCATCAGGGAATCTGGATCTGAAGCTGAGCAGCTGGGAGTCAAATCAGCACTCCCATATGAGCTGTTGGCATTTAAGCAGCAACTTAACCTGCTGTGCCACAGAGCTGGTCTCTGTCACTGTGACCTTAACACAACATGTTCTAGTTACTCACTTGTCAAGTTAGCAACACTGTCATTTGTCCTTAAAGCCTAGAATTAATTTGTAGAGCATAAACAGTGGGATAATTTTCAAGTTGCTGGCTGGTGTTTGTCTGCAGAGGAGAGCACCAGGCAGTGAACTCTTTTTGTTTTTGTTTTTGTTTTTTTTTAAGATTTTATTTATTTATTTGACAGGCAGAGTTACGGATGGTGAGAGAGGCGGGGTGGGGAGGTATTTCTTCCATTGGTTCACTCCCCAAGTAGCCGCAGTGGCTGGAGCTGTGCCGATCCGAAGCCAGGAGCCAGGTGCTTCCTCCTGGTCTCCCATGCGGGTACAGGGCCCAAAGACTTGCCATCCTCCACTGCCCTCCCAGGCCACAGCAGAGAGCTGGACTGGAAGAGGAGCAACCAGGTCTAGAACCAGCGCTCATGTGGGATGCCGGCGCCGCAGGCAGAGGATTAACCTAGTGCACCATGGTGCCAGCCCCCAGGCAGTGAACTCTTAAAAATAATTAAGAACAGGGGCCAGCGTTGTGGCGGAGCAGATAAAGCTCAGCCTGCAACTCTGGCACCACCTATGGGTGCTGGTTCATGTCTTGCCTGCTCTACTTCTAACCCAGCTCCTTGCTGATAGCCTGGGAAAAGGTCTGGAAGATGGCCCAAATGTGTGGGCCCCTGCAACCCACGAGGGAGACCCAGATGGAGTTCTCGGCTCCTGCTTCCACCTGGCCCAGTACTGGCTGTCGCTGCTGTCTGGGGAGTGGACTAGCAGATGGAAGATCTCATTGTCTCTCCCTCTGTCTCTATAATACTGACTTTTAAATACACAAATAAATAAATAATGAAGATTAAATAATGATTAAATAAAAAGATAAAGACATATAATAAGGATTAAACGAGAGAGATTTTGGACTCCTGGTATGAACACTAAGAGATACGGACTCATAGCTGTTTCACAATTTGAATATATTTTAACTTTATCATTTCACAGTAAGCAACATTGCAGTCCACTCTGTTTTGTTCTCTACTGAGGGAAGGTACCCAGGGGAACCTGTGTGCACTATTTTATAAGATATCCCAGACGACCTGCATCTTATTCTGTGGGTTTCAGTAGGGAGTGTCAGAGTCCCCAGGCCTGAGATGTGAGGGGTTAAACTCCCATGCAGTCCGCATCCTCTGTGTGCATCTGAGTGTCAGCAGGGGCACTTCCAGGACAAAATGCAAGGAAAGATCCCAGCAGGCAGCTGAGGTTGCCTTGCTTTCTTGCTGGTGTTTTCCCCCTTCTCATTCTAATGGTGGAGTGGTTACTGTGTGAAGTTGCAGGGGGATGAAATTTGGAGAGGAGAGTACAATACCTGGAGGGCAAGGACTTCCTATGTTTTATACCCAAACAAATAATTTTATGTTTCTGAGACAGCTGTATGTTCTTATGGGCTGCAGAAGGAGCAAAAAAATTTATAATTTTCTTCAGTACTGCAAAACAGAAACACTGCCTAAAAGGGGATTCTTAACTTGATTAAGAACACATAATACATATTTTATTATTAACTTGAGCTCAGTGCTTTTTAAAATATTCATTCATGCTATAGGGATGATTTTCTTGATGTGTTTGTTTTTAAAAGAGTTATTTTATTTATTTGAAACAGTTACAGAGGGAGATAGAGAGACAGAGAGAGAGAGAGGGAGGGAGGTCTTCCATCCACAGCTTCACTCCCCAAATGGCCACAGCAGCCAGAGCTGAACTGATCCAAAGCCAGGAGCCAGGAACTTTTCCGGGTCTCCAGTGTAGGTGCAGGTGCCTGAAGCACTCTGGCCATCTTCTGCTTCTTTGCCAGGAACATTAGCAGGGAGCTAGATAGGAAGTGGAGCAGTCTGGCACTTGGACTGGTGCCTATATGGGATGCCGGCACTGCAGGCCAGGCCACAGTACTGTCCCCTTCTGATGTGTTTTACATTTAGCTACCTGGTTTCTTAATGTTTACATGTACATTCTACTTGGTGTTCTGTTGTGTTTTTTTTTTTTTTTTAAGATCGTTTGTTTGTTTACTTGAAGGAAAAGTGATAAAAGGAGAGAAAAAGAGTGAGACAGCTCTTCCATCTGCTGATTTCATTTCCCAAATGCCCACAAGAGCCAGGGCTGGACCAGGCCGAAGCCAGAACACGGTAACTCCACCTGGTGACCCAGAGGGATCCAGGGGCCCAAGTGATCTGCTGCCTCCCAGGAGCATTAGCAGGGAACTAGACTGGTGATGTCCAGGAGCCAGGAATCAAACCTGCACTCCATTGTGGGATTCGGGAGTCCCAGTAGCGGCCTACCCTACTGCACCACACCTCACTCTGTGCTCTTGCTACAACAGCCTTGCCTGCCTTTCCTCTTTTCATGGTTGTTTCCAATGGGCTTTTGGTACTTGAGCTTAAAACTATGGAAGATATTTCTTAGTAGTTAGATATGAGTGTAGATGTCTATATGTGTGGAAATATCTGTACCTGTGCGCGTGTATTTTTGATGGTGCAATGAATATGAGCTATTCCAAGCTAAAATTCACTTTGTTGCTGTCTATAAGTGTATTTAATGTTTTCTGCAGGTTTTAGTGTGGCACATGCCTTCATGCTCCAAACTAGCTTTGGTGCTGTAGGTATTGGGCTAAGTTACCTTTTTTTTTTTAGTGACAGTTAAATGTAATTTCTGTTCTGTGGGTTACTAAATATGCTATTTATGAGATAACAATATATTATATGTTATATGTAAATAACTTTAGATATTTAAAACACATTACAAAGTTAGCCTCCACAGATTACTATTTTAGAAACTTGGCTCATTCAGTAGCCAAAGTAAGAATAAGGGTCTATGGGAGCTCATAAATGAATTATAAAATAATTTATTCAGGTCAAGCAATGATCACATCATCACAATTCAAAAATCTTTGTTTTTTGGAAGACCCCTATTCTTTTTTTTTTTTAATTTTTTTTTTTTTTATTTTTGACAGGCAGAGTGAACAGCGAGAGAGAGAGACAGAGAAAAAGGTCTTCCTTTTGCCATTGGTTCACCCTAAAATGGCCGCCATGGCCAGTGTGCTGCGGCCCACGCATTGCGGTGATCCAAAGCCAGGAGCCAGGTGCTTCTCCTGGTCTCCCATGCGGGTGCAGGGCCCAAACACTTGGGCCATCCTCCACTGCACTCGCAGGCCATAGCAGAGAGCTGGGCTGGAAGAGGGGCAACTGGGAGAGAATCCCGCGCCCTGACCGGGACTAGAACCCATTGTGCCCGTGCCACAAGGCAGAGGATTAGCCTATTGAGCCACGGCGCCGGCCTGGAAGACCCCTATTCTTATAGCAGCATCACAGGGTGGTGAGCCTGTCTCCAGGACTTAGGACTCAGTAGATCAAGGTGGAGCCTGAGAATCTCACCTCTGGCTCAGTCCCACTGCAGTTAATTATTCATGCTACACCTCCTAATGAGCCAGGTCCTCTCACACTGCTGTGTCACAGAGCCTTTTCATCTACAGTTACTTTGTGTTATTCTGTATTCTCCTTTGATACCTAGTGGCCCTTACTTCTGTTCATAGTCTGTGTCCTGCAGCAAAATATTCCCACTTTTTTTTTTTAACAGATTGAGATGTTTATTGGGAATAGATTGAATCTAAGATGAAATTGGGAAGACATCTTGATAGTAATGAATTTTCTTATCCACGCATTGGGGAATATCTCTCTATTAGTTCTTACTTTTTGTCAGTTTTATAGTTTGCCTCATATAGATCTTGTACTTATTTTGTGAGATTTGTGTTTAAGTATATCATTTTGTACGCTCATACAAAAATCTCAAATTCCAATTATTTTCCCTCAGCAACCTTTAATTTAATAAATACAAACTTCATGCTTTTCATAAATACAACTTTAGGAACATAGTGATTCTTCCACTGTACCCACCCTCCCATCTGCTCTCTTCACCCTTTTTCCTCTTCTTTCTCTTTTATCTTACTACAATCTATTTTCAATTAACTTTATACACAGAAGATTAACTCTATACTAAGTAGAGTTCAACAAATTTTATGAAAAAAAAAAACTGTTCCTCAGCAGTTTTTTGATTTCTTTGTTGATGTCTTCTATGACCCACTGTTCATTCAGGAGCATGTTGTTCAGTCTCCATGTGTTTGTGTATGTTCTATAGATTCTTGAGTTGTTTATTTCCAGCTTCATCCCATTGTGGTCAGAGAAGATGCATGATACGATTTTTTTGAATTTGCTGAGACTTGCTTTATGGCCTAGCGTGTGGTCTATCCTGGAGAAAGTTCCATATTCTGGTAAGAAGAATGTGCATTCTGAAGCTGTAGGATGAACAGTTCTGTAGATACCCATTAGGTCCATTCGGTCTATAGTGTTGATTAAATGTTGTTTCCTTGCTGATATTCTGTGTAGTTGATCTGCCCATTACTGAAAGTAGCGAATTGACATCCCCCGTTACTACTATTTGCGAGTCTGTGTCTCCCTTCAGATCCATTATCATTTCTTTTGAATAGCCATGTGCCCTGTAATTAGGTGTGTATACATTTGTTATATTCACATCCTACTGTTGAATTGATCCCTTAATTATTGCATAGGGCCCATATTTGTCTCTTTTAACAGTTGATGTGTTAAAGACTATTTTGTCTGATATTATGATGGATACACCAGCTCTCTTTTGGTTTCTGTTAGCATGGAATATCCTTTTCCATCCTCTCATTTTCAGTCTGTGTGTATCTTTGTTGGTGAGATACGTTTCTTATAGGCAGCACATAGATTTTTTAAAAGATTTATTTTATTTATTAGAAAGAGCTACAGAGAGAGGTAGAGAGAGAGAGAGAGGTCTTCATCTGCTGATTCACTCCCCCGATGGATGCAACAGCTGGAGCTCTGCCGATCTGAAGCCAACAGCCAGGAGCCTCCTCCAGGTCTCCCACATGGGTGCTAGGGCCCAAGGACTTGGGCCATCTTCTACTGCTATCCCAGGCCACAGCAGAGAGCTGGATCAGAAGAGGAGCAGCAGGGACTAGAACCGGCGCCCATATGGGATGCTGGTGCTTCAGGTCAGGGCGTCTTAATGCATTCAGCCAGTCTGTGTCTTTAAAAAAAATTATTTGTTTATTTATTTGAAAGGTAAAGCTCCTTATGAAGTCAGAGGGAGAAATGGACCAATGGCAGTGCAGCAGGGACTTGCACGAATTTCTATTTCATGACAGTTGGTCTTCATGAAGTCAGAGCCAGGCGGGGACCAATCAAAGTTGAGTGGCAGCCAAGAACTCCAAGAGCTTTTGGTTAGGTTGGTGATACAGATTGATGTTCATTTTTTGAGACATTAAAACATGTAGGATGCCCCAATGGCCTTTTGATTTCTCTTTAAAGTGTGATAAAAACTGTTGGGTCTTTAAGACCTCCAATTGTTTACACTCAAGATACACATCCCATTTCCTTGATCCTCAGAATGATAGGTCACAGAATGATGTTACAACCTCTCTGTCATCTTCATAACCCTGGCAAAGTGTTCTGCTGTCCATGGCACCACCAGGCACATTATTCACATGGACAGAGCTGAGAGGAAGGGATCTCTCATCATCCTCTCTCCCTAAGATCCTCAGCAGATTTCTTGTTAGAACCCCTGGAGGACCAGAAGGTAGCTGGGTTGCTATAGTCCATGTATGGAAGGCCAACCAGCTGAGTGAGCTGCCTCCTCCAGCTTGTCCTTAGAATAGCAGGGAGAAATGGAGGCATTTCCAGATGTCTCCGGGTTCCTGGGCTACTCTCACAAAGTGTCTTGAACGGAGTCATGAATAAAGAACAGAAATTCATTCCTCAGTGTTTTTTCTGGAGGCTGGAAGATGGAGGTCAGGGCTCCAGCAGACTCGTTGTCTGGAAAGAGCTCCCTCTCTGCTGCTGCTGTGCCCTCTTCAGAGAGAGATGGTAAGATGGAAAGGCTGGTGGTTTACTATGGTTGGTTGAAGCCGAGTACATGTGTGGAAAAGTTGCATTGTAGCCCTTAAAAAAGCACCACATCTTATTTCAACACTCACCCATAAATTTTATGGAAAGATCTTACCTTCCTGGTGTGTCCTCAGATTGTTTAATCAGAACCTCACCCCTTCAGGCCCTTTTAGACAGTCACGTAGCCTGGGGCCGACACTATGGTCCAGCAGATTAAACCCTGCTACACAGCATCCCATGTGGGAGCTGATTGGAGGCCTGGGTGCTCCACTTCCAATCCTGCTCCCTGCTATTGTGCCTGGGAAAGCAGCAGTAGATGGCCCAAATATCTGGGCCTCTGCCACCCATGTGGAAGACCTGAATGGAGTTCAGGACTGACCTGACCCAGCCCTGGTAATTGTGGCTCTTTGGGGAGTGAACCAGCAGTTGGACAATCTCTCTCTCTCTCTCTCTCTCTCACCTCTTCCCTCTCTCTCGTTGTATATCTGACTTTCAAATACATATCTAATTCTCTTTTGTTAGAAAAAAGAAACTCACTCACCCTGTGAAAGAGAGCGGAGCCCTAGTCCTGTGTTCCCTGCCTCTTTATACTGTAGCATTGACCTTGAAGTTTGAACATGAAGTTTGGAGGGACATGGACAGTTCTCACCACTAGGCCTGCTCTGCATGAAAGGAATCTTTGAGGGTGAACTACAGGACCCTGGACAGAACGGCAAAGCCCAAAAGAAATAAGATCTCTGGGAAGGCTAGTTGTCTGGTATGATCAATTTATGCGGAGTGTATGTGTTGAAATAGTGAACTGTAACCATAAAACAAGTAGTACATGCTAATCCCATATCTAAAATACTCTTTAATTTCTTTCATTGATGATTCATAGTTTTAATTGTAGAGATCTTTTACTTCTTTGGTCACATGTATTCCCAGCTGTTTTCTTTTTCCTTAGTGTAGCTAGTGAACATGGGATTGCTTTCTACTGGTCATTGTATGTTGACTTTGCACCCTGATACTTTGCAGAATGTATTTGTTCTCTCAGGTTTTTGGTGGAGTCTTTGTGGGTTTTCTATATGTAAGATCATTCATTAGCCAAAAGTAACAATTTGGCCTCTCTCTTCAATTCAGATGCCCTTGACTTTTTCTCTTGCCTAATTTCTCTACCTAGTATTTCCAGTACAATGTAGAACAAAACTTGAATGATAATAAAAAATAAT